TATACACGCACCTCAGTACTGCATGTATGTGATGCACACACACCTACATACACACCACACATGTGAAACTGTTGGTTATCTTCCACCTCTCTACTCATCTGTTTGTCTTTTAGTGGAAAGCCCAGGGAAAGAATGTTGGTTCCCCCATGGTTTTAAAACCACACTAAATTTCATTTCACTTGAATTATCCAGTCTTCATAAATACCTAAATGAAATAAGATTCACTCCAACCCYGACAACACATTCTTCTTTGGCTGTGACAATGGAAATAATGTACACGATAAAAGAGTGTCTGAAAAAATCCATAAATGTGCATTGACGTGGTTTCATGGGGATCGACACCAACAAATTAGGGAACAGAAACCCTGTGGTTGGCTGTGAAGCCCAGCATGGCTCTATCTATGCTTTTCAGGTTCTAATCATCTTACACTTGATACATGTATGCTTCATCATTTTGATTAAGTGAGGTTCTATTAAATACAAATAATCCAAAGGTACACCAAGAGCCAATCAAGAACCAATATCAATAGCCCAAATCTATTGAGATCCTACTAGGTACCAGTCCCTTTGATCTTAAAGTCTGGCAAAGCAGGTCGTCAGTGCCCYGTTCTCATACAGGACGGCAGAGCATGCCTGACATTGATAATTTAGTCCAGGGCAGAGCTATACCTGTGTGCGCACTGTGCCAAGTCATTTTTAGCTTCCTTTTGACATGTGTCTTACAGAGTGGATTTTTGAAGTGCAAAATAATTTTATGATGGATTTTTGGTTCTAGTAAGATTTTTGTAGAGTTGGAAACTTAGAATTCTTTTTTTGTTTTTAATATCCATTCTCATTCATTTAGATAAATGTTTCTTGATATATCAACAACTTATGAGTGATCTGTTCATTGTTTGAACATGGGCACCCCCATATTGATGTTCTAGGCTTTGGAATAGAAAGAGTGYACARTAGAGGCTTCAGATGCTCAGAATGTGTTTTTACTTGGTCAAAATCTCAAAATTTTTATCCTTCATCTAATCTCTCATGTTTATTTATAATGTAGCTTCTCAGTACTCCCATCTGCATGGTCATTATTCTAAGTGAAGATGTAAAATAAAAATTTTATTCCATGATTCATAATTCTTATTAACCTGCATATTTTATACGGCACTCTCATCGGTATYTCAACTTGTTTTACAAACATGAGGAAAATCATCTTCTCCATGCATATATCTCTATATAAGCTGGCATAGACCCATGGCTGCTTTTATTCTGAACTAGCCCCATGCCTTCTGTTCATCTGTGGCTCTGGTGATGCTAAGTTGTAAAGGCTCTCTGAGATCTGCCTTCGTGAGCCCATGTCTGCCGTAGACAAGGAGGCAAGCCTGATTTATGACTTGTTCAGTTCTTTCAGGAGTGACAGATACTAGTTTGCAGTGAATTGCCTTTTAAGAAGACACAGAACTAAATAATGGGAGGAAAACAATATGCATCTTATTATCCTGCCTGACGAGATCCAAACACCTCCTTCCTCCAGATTTATATCTATTAATACAAGAGATGTCTGACTGCTTAACCTTTATTCCTGCTTTTTCACTGTCCTTGGAAGAGGAATGGGATGCTGGCTGAATTTCAAGAGGCTCTGCCTTCCAAGAAATGGAACTTCCTGATTTAATAGCAGGTCACACTGTCAGGGGCCTGTGGTCAACCCAAAGAATCCCTGAGGGGCAGCTGAATGTGCTTCCAAATGTAGTTCAGCTCCCCAGCTGACCTGACCTGTGTTGTGATGAATTAAGAGAACAACGTACACTATACACTGAGCACAACTTCTCTGTGTTCTAAAACAAGAAGCAAGACAAAATGAATTTGAGCATTTCTATCTGACATGCACAATGGTCACCTTATAAAATTGGCTTGAGGACTTGGAGAGAGGGAGGCTTGCTATGGAAAGAGGCAACTGTGGCTCACACCCCCTTCCATTCCTTAGTATTCCCTTTATCTGAGACATCTGCATGGGAGACAGTGTAGTGGAGTGGACAATGGACATGAACAGCCCCTAAGGGTCACTTGCTGACAGGGCAATAGAGACACCAGGCGAAAACCAGCTCTGGTCCTGACCAAACATTTCCCAGCCATATTCTTATTTAATAAGCCCTTGAATTGCTGACCTCTTCTTTCTACCTTTTCTTTTTTGTTTCATCYCTAATATCCCTGGTAGCTGGTCTTTTATCTTTCCTGTAATTCATCATGCATGTCCAGAAGTCCAGTCCTACCCTTAAACATAGGAAGCATGGCAGATTGTTTCTTTCAGACGAGTATTTTCCCAGTGCAGCATGATGGTACATGAATAGGCTCTGGGCTCAGACCCTCTCGATTCAGACATCCCTACTTCCTCCCAGCCCAGTAGCTAGTGGTGTGAACTTGGCTGAGCTGTTAAACCTCTGGGCTTCAGTGTGCTCAGTTATGCACTGGGAAGGMCACAGCACTGCCTCTGACTCTTGTGGGTTTGGTGAGCACATGAATGTAAAAGACCAAGCTCAGCATAGCTCAGCAGAATCCACAAACACTTTTTATCACACACAGACCAGCTGGAAGAAACCACGACAGGTCRTCTCTCCTTCATGGTGGTTTTCCTGCCTATGACTTCTTAGATAACGAAGTATTCATCACTCCCATTTTGTGCTGCTTGTCTCCATGTTACCAGCAGAAGTGGGTACTGGTGAGGGTTTTGATAGATCTGGGTGCACTCTGCCTCATGCACCAGTGCTGGTGACAGCTCCAGGTCACACAGACCCTGCCCCCAAAGTCATTTTTATGTTCCCCATTTTAGATGGTTTGTTGTTGTTATTGTTGATGATGATGATGACTCTTTAGTTTTAATAAAGTGCTGGAACTATAATCTGGCTTTGCATCCCTAGGTTTAGGACCTATTCTGAAATGATTCAGCCTCCCCTTTCAAAATTATACATAAAGTGATTATTTTCCTTAGACATGAAATATAGGTTTGGTTTTGGGGTCTGCTTTTGTGAGTAATTATCTTGGAGACTCATAGGGAATCTGGATTCAAAACCCTCCAATACTTTCCTTATAGTAAAAAAAAAAAATCAGATATGTAACCTGTTGTATTTGTGAGCATCTCTCCAGGATCCTAAATTATACAGTAATAATAATGAATATAATATTCTTCTCATATGTTTTAATGCAGTTCTGGATTTTGTTTTTGTTTTGTTTTGGTTTGGTTTTTTTGGAACTTGGAGTTGAATTCTCACTAAGCCACATCCTCCAATCCTTTTTATTTATTTATTTTTCTTGAATTTTGAGACATCTAAATAGCTGAGCCTGGACTTGAACTTCTGATCTTCCTGCCTCAGCCTCCTAAGGCACTGGAATTATAGGCACGTACCAACTGCCTAGTGTATCTTTTTTTTTTTTTAACTGCCCATTTCAGGATAAAGTAATAGTGATTTAAGAATTTTTTGACAGCTTATAAATTAAATTAATTCTCATCAAAAATCTCTGTATATGATGTAATGTACTTAGRAACAGTGTAACAACCTGAAGGGAACTGCACAACCATAGGAATCATGTAGAATGCTTTACATTTTTAAAATGTGCAGTCATATGAAAACATTTTGTGGATGACATTGAAGATATATACATAGTTAGCTAGCTAGCCAGATAGATAGATGGATAGACTGTTTGGAAATTGGCAACAGTCTTGATGAATAAAATAGAAGAGGATTCAGTCAGTGTCAACTCCTCTGTGCCAGTGTTTGAAGTCCCTGTCTGTGTTTCAGGTCTGCCTTAAATGGTAATGTCTTGTCTTGCAGCCAGACATATTTCCAGTTTTCCTGCCAATAGCCTGTTTATTGGCGCAGTACAGTTGTATCTGGTAAGGTGCAAGGTCAATGGAATTGCTCCTACAAACTATCCCTGAAAATGTGCCCTTGTGGATATAGCTGTTGTCTGTATATTTCATTAATTTTGAACACCAAAGGTTATTGCCATAATTACWCTAATTGTACTATAAAATTCGGACACTTGCTGAATGAATGAGAGAAACGAATGAGAATCAAATGATTATGACRGTTTTTAAAGATACATATTGGGACATATCAGTGTCTATAGGGTATCCATCACCTCTTTTTCCTCTTCTTCTCAAACAGGAAATTAGAAAGAGAATACTTTCAGTGTAATATGTGAGATTCGGTTGGTAATCTGTATTTCATAATTCCTAATGAGCTTGGTGATTAAGTAAAAGCTTTGTTGTAATTTTGTCAATTCTCAATCCCCTTATTTAAGCCATTTATGAGACTGGTGAGCTTCCAGACAATGGCTTCCTCTCAACACCTTTGTCTCCTCCCAGTGGTTCCACCAGTGACCAGGAATAGGAAAACAAGGCTTCAGCCTCATAGTGACACTGTCACCATAGAAACGGGAATTGCTGAAGCTAATTCGGGGCACTAACCTTACAGTTTGAGTTTTTGTTTCACTTTTCACCAATGGAAAATATTGTAAGGTCTTTACTAAAAGCAGATAAAATATGTTGAAGTCATATACATGGATATAAAGTCAGCATTTTTTTGTGCTGCAAAAACAATTAAAGATTCCTATATTCTGAGTCAAATTTCACCTTTTTAATCTTATTTGCTCTGTTTCCAAAGTTGATGTAAGACTTTTCAAGCAAAGAAATAGACATTGCTTTAATTTGTTCTGCAAACCTCCCCTGGCCTTTTGATGGCATTGATGTCATGCTAGCTTGAGCACTGGTCCAGCTCAGGGTGCTCCAGTGTGGAAGCACGGTATGGATGGCCCGTCATTTGGAACCTGGGCATGAGCCTGAGTGTCCCAGCAGCACAGACCATTAAGCCGCTCGAAGGGCTTCCCATTTGTCCTGTAAGGTCCAGGTGTTGTCTAAGCAGAAGCATGTCTCCTTGGGAGAAATACTGAGCAGGCCAAGATAAAATCAGGAATGACACATGGATGTTGAGATTTTTCTTCTTTCCTATCGCTCACAGAACCAAACTTTGTGTCCTCCTATGACATCGGAAATTTCACCTACTTCTTCTTCCGAGAAAATGCYGTGGAGCATGACTGTGGGAAGACCGTGTTCTCCAGAGCCGCCCGGGTCTGCAAGAACGACATCGGGGGGCGGTTCCTGCTGGAGGACACCTGGACCACCTTCATGAAGGCTCGCCTGAACTGCTCCCGGCCCGGGGAGGTGCCCTTCTACTACAACGAGCTGCAGAGCACCTTCTTCCTGCCAGAGCTGGACCTCATCTACGGCATCTTCACCACCAACGTGTACGTAGCTGGAAAGAGCATCTTTTTCTTCTCTTTTCCTCATTCTGAATGAGGCTTTTGTTCCTTGACCTCTGAGGATTTAAAGTTGCCCCAAAGGTAGTCTTTCTTATTTTACTGGGCTAATAGCCAAAAAAAAAAAAAGTATGAAAAGAGACTTTTCACTCTGAATTAAGTGTTAGGCAGAGATATGTACTGTGTGAAACTGGCATTAGGAAAATATACATAAATCTAAAAAGTTTTGATCTGTCTTTGGGTCACAGAAATATCAAATTATCTATGATAGATTGTTCTTTTCTGATTTGTGAGTATGTCCTGGGCACTTTGGGGAATACAGGTACATATTAGGTTCTTTTTCCATTTACACAAGTCATGCATTTGTGCATAACGAAAGCCATATTGTTGGGGAAATCTGATCTTTAAGATAACATAATTCTTGCCTGAACCCTGACTTATGTATGAAACTCACATTCTTACTTCCCCATAGTTGCACTTAAACCATTGCTATAGAAGATGGCTAACTTGGGCAACTATTTCTTAAATGAAAATTGCACTTTAAAAATGTTCCTGAAAATATAGCACTTACTTTTCTGTTGGGAATATCCCTACCATCAGGACAGACAGTATTTGGATGGCTGGGCAAAGCATTTGAAGTTTCCCAAGCACTCATTTCCTTTCATTCTGGTAGAGTGGTGCCCAGTTCCTTAGTGCTCTGTGGCTCTGGGTGGTGTGATAAGACCTAACAAGAGCGCATGGGACTSGAAGCGACACTCCCTCAACATTGGCAGAGCTGTGCTTGCCCTGCATCTGGATCACCTTTGCAGTCTCTCATCTGGATACCTAACAACTTTGAGAAAAGTCAAATATTTGTGTCCAGAGCAAAGAATCCAAATCTAAAAGGGTAAAAATTGCTGAGAGATGAGGTGGGTGACCCATACCCCAGCTTGCCTGTGCTTAGCCTGGTTTGGGTGTTGATGACTACCTTGCATCATGGGGAACATTAGTCCTGGGCAAACCAGGCAGTAGATGAATGCATGAAGCTTGCTCAGCTCCCTGCATATTTTTAATTTATTTTTTTTTATCTCTGGCATCAGAAGTGTGCCCATGAATTATATTTCTTGAGTCATTTACTTTATCTGTCCCTTTATTCCTCATTAGCCTTTTCCTCCTGCCCTTTCTCCTGGTAAGTGTTCAGATTCACTGGATTGAAATGTTACTCCACATTCTCCTTTCTTAGATGTTAGAAAAGCAGGTGGTAACGATGACCCCACCCCGGCCCCCTCCACCATTGGCTGTCCTTATTGTTACAAATCTGCTTTCCAAGCCCAGATGTTATTTTCTACTCCTGGAGAAGTTTCTTTAAAAAAAAAATCAATTTATGGTTTCTGAAGTTGATTTGCTTTCCAAAACCTTGTTTGAAGAGTAGTATAGGCTGCACAAGATAAATGTTCTGTTGCTCAGTTGACATCAATTTTACACACAATGGGGGCTTGGCTTMCTTAGTTGTTGATTCCCCTGGCTCTGAGAAAAAAAAAAATGACCACAACAAAAACACCAATTTCAAAAGTTACAAAAGTCCTCTGCCTGAACTATTCCAAGGTAGTGAATAGTCCATTCAGAGACTCGCAGAAATGTTTCAGATTACTGTAGGTGAGGTTCTCAGTGCTTTAGTGCAGCCATGACAGAAGTCATTCAACATATGCCTACCTCCTCTTTCTCTCTGGAATCTATTCCCCCTGATTCTTTCTGATACGTCCATCTCTAATCCCATGATGCATCCCACCTGTCCTTCCTTTATGGCGCAGCCTTGATTTGACCCTTTCAACAGATGAGTGCTTTTGTGAGAAGTCTGGCTTCAAACTGAAAGAAAATGAGGTTCAGGTAGCTGGCAATTTCCCATCTCCGAATTTCAGGCTAGAAGTTGGTAGCTTGAAGTTGCAGTTTGCCTCCACACTTTTCAGGATTTCTCACCTGGGAGAATGGGGGCAGCAGGGAAGGACCTATTCTGGCTCATTTCTGTCTCTAGGACGGTGAGATTTTTCTAAACTACTTAGTTAAGAGTTGAGCTGCAGGAACCAGTTTGCTACTGCAATAGAAATTTTTTTTTTTTTTAAAGAGAGAGAGAGAGAATTTTTTTAATAAAAATTTATTTTTCAGTTTTTTGGCGGACACAACATCTTTGTTTGTATGTGGTGCTGAGGATGGAACCCGGGTCACACGCATGCCAGGCAAGCGCACTACCACTTGAGCCACATCCCCAGCCCCAAGCAATAGAATTTTTAAAGGTGTTACCTCTTATTCTGGATATCTATAAATGAAGGCCCAGCGTTCTAGTTGTATGTAGTGTAGAGAATATGACAGAGCATAGTTTAGTGCACATGGATATCTAGACAGTAAAGCTGGTGCTGCTAGGAAAAAGTTTTGTTTTTTTCCCTTCTAAGAAGAATAAGAACTAGAAGGATTATTATTTTTTTTTTGTTACTTCACTTTTCTACCAGTAACTTTAGGTAATCTTGAAATAGAAAAAAACTTCAAGTTCCCCCATTTCTGGGCTCACTTAAGTGAGTCTTCTGCCATTTTAATCCACTTGGGGCACAAACAAGAAATAAACAGCATTAAATGAGGACAAATGATTACCTTGATTACTGAGAGAAGCCGGGTTGGAGCATATGGCTGCAGGTATCTTAACCCAGATGGACTTACTGATACTGAGCTTTAAGCAGATACATTCACAAGGTCACTGGAGTCTACCCCCAGGCTGGCCTCCTGCTTCCAGGAGTCCCTGGAGAAGGTGTGTATGTGCTTCTGCAGGTCTGCCCGCCCACAGAGCACAGCAAGTGAAGTGCCAGGGGCAGGGGGACGCTGCACCACTGATGCTTTCTCCTTGCCAGGAGTTGGAAAGAAATGTCCTCCCAACACAGTGAGTGACACTGACCAGCAGCTACTGGGACATCCAGGGGAGGCTCTGGGCTGATACCAGAGCCCAGGCCAGCCCCATTCMGAGTGGGAGAAGGGAGTGATCCCAGGTGTGGTTCTAACAGGGAGAGGGTAACGAAGGTAATGTGGCAGTGGGATCACCGCGTGGACTCAGGGACCCATGCAAGGCAGGTGCAATCCTAATGCTGTAGCCTGTGCTGAGGGCTGGCCATGATGCGCCCTCTGTGCTGCTGTTTATCCATCTGAAAAGTGGGGTTGTTCTCAGGATTTGTGGACTCTTCCAGAAACGCAGTGATCCTAGTCAGTGGTTAGCAGAAGGCTCAGGGTGATATTCTAATTAGTGACAGCCCCATCCCCTTCCTGGTCTCATTTCTCCAGAGCCAGACTGCAGGAGTTCAAGTGTCATCCGCTCCCTAGACTGTKGCCTAGTGTCATGTCCTCACCATGACTGCCTCAGGGCCCTTGTCTGAGTCCCTCTTACCTCATAAAGACCACCTGGCCTGGCAGGAGTAAATCCCACAGGGAGGCACTAGCACCTGTCCAGGGTCTGTCAATAAACAAATATACGGCAGGAATTTTGGTCCTGGAGTTTCTGGGACTTTGCCTTTGATGTGACCAAACAGTGGCTATAAGTAGGCAAGATATTGATCCCGAGCATTAATATGGAAAACAAGTACATGTTCCTCTTTCCTCTTTCCACTTCCCCTCTGGAAACCAGAGCTGAGCTTAACATGCAAATTTAACCAAAAATATTGAGCTGTTTCCATGCTTAGTCAAAGGACCAGGACCTTCYGAATCCTCCCATTTACCGCTTTCTCTGCAGAGCCTGAATGCTAAGTTAAGGCTTTAAGATTTCATATGGCAGTGCTGTGGTAGATTTTTCTCTCTGACCCTTCGAATTTACAATCCTTTCTAAATTAAGAAAAAAAAGAATATGAAGGGTCTATCAGGCATTCTTTGCAAAACACTTCCAGTTWATTATTTCTAAAGGATGACAAATAAACACAAATACCAGGGGATTTAGAAGAAAAGGTCTTGACCCACTGCCAGCTAAAGTGGTGAGTGGGGGAGAGGCCACTCGAGKGATGGGAGCCTGCAGCCACCCCAGGCGATGGCCACATTCTTCCAGAATTTGAAAGGCAAAACACACAGCCCTTAAGGATCCCTTGTTGTCCCTTCTGGCTGAATGAAGTAATCCAGCTGGCAGGATCACACGTGTCATATCTGGTAAAGAGTCTTGTTTCAATACCTAGATGGTTTTTTGCTCAAAGAGAAATCCCAGGGAAGCCCCACTCACTGCTCTGACTTGGTCTTGGGGAGGTTTAGGAGACTGGTCTTCTCGCGTCTGAGGCTGCCTCCTGGTCACTGCTGCTGCTCCGTGGCTGGTGGAGGGCCGCGGTCACTGCTGGGCCCTCTGACCGTCTTTGTTTTCTCCCTTGGCTTTGCAGGAACAGCATTGCGGCCTCGGCTGTGTGTGTCTTCAACCTGAGCGCCATCTCCCAGGCCTTCAACGGGCCCTTCAAGTACCAGGAGAACTCGCGCTCGGCCTGGCTGCCGTATCCCAACCCCAACCCCAACTTCCAGGTAATTCCAGGGCAGAGGGCCGCTCTGGGCATGTCCCGTGAAGAACACAGAAACCTCCTGCAGACAGGCTGGGGCAGCGTCCTCCTTGGTGCACACACAGGGCGGCTGCCATCTCCCTGTCCCTTCAAGGGCAGTCCCACGCTCGCTCGGCTTTGCTAATGCCAATGAGCCTTTGTCAACGGTGGCGCCTGGGCCAAAAAAAGGGCCTTTTGTCAGCTGAGAGGCCTGATGCTGAACTGAAAAAGGCCAGCATCCTGTAGGGTGTTAGGAGCCTGGGCTCCAATTAGTGCTAACGATGATGGACTCTGTGTCCCCGAATCTCTGATCCCTGATGAATGGCGTCTGATGAATAGGGCCCAGGGCACAGAGGGATGGAGACACACAAACAGAACTCTAATTGGCAAATATGGCGAGATTTCCTGTTGGGGAAGGCAGAACAAGCTTGTGGCAGCTGGGAGGGGAGAAGCAGAGCTGAAGGTCATTCATCTTTCAGTCACAACATTACAGGATGTCCAGCTGCAAGGGCTTTGTCAGCCTGGCCGCCTCCCAGTGTTGAGAAGAAGCTGAGACCCAAAGAGATGAGGTGATTTATGAGGTTTGCTCAGTCAGCAGGTCTGTTAGTTTGCTTGGGCTGCTGTAATAAAATACCACAGATCGGGGGCTTGAAAAAGAGCCTTGAATTTTCTCCTAGTTCTGGAGGCTAGCAATCCAAGATTCAGTGGAGACAGGGTGACTGTCTGGTGAGGGCTGGTTCCCTTTCTTGAAAGTGTCCATCTTCTCGTTGGTCCCCCTATGAAGGGAGAGACATATTTGGTTTCTCTTTCTTTTTTATTCGGCCACCCGTTCCACCAGGTTAGAGGTCCTCCCTCATGACCTCATTGAACGTTAATTACCTCCTTCTCCTTCGAGGTCCTGCCCCACAGATAGCCACACAAAGCCCAGAGGTTTAGTTCCTACTTGCAGGATTCCCTGGAAGACCTCTTTACTGCCAACGGCTCTCCTGTGATCATCATCACTGTCGCTGTGGGTCTGAGTTGTAGCACCACCAAGTTCTGCCTGCTGTGCTGGCTCCTCCAGGGACCTCAGGTTGCATGCTGGCAGCTGTGCCCTGCTGGGTGAGACTCCTCCACACAAAGGGCAGGAGGTGGAGCCCGGCCCGGATGACCTACCACGACCACTGCTGATTTAGAATCCCAACCATTCTCAATTGCAAAGTCTCAAACGATTCCAATTAAATGACTGTAACATCACTAATAAAACATAAACCTTTTGGCTCCTTAGAAAACTAGGATGATGAAAAGGTTCAATTATTTTAGACTTTACTTGTATTTTGTAAACATCACTTGATTATAATTATTTTGAGTTTTTGTGTTTGTGTTGTTTTTTCAACTTTTGAAAGAATATGGAATTGGAAATAAGATGACTAATTTACATGTCATCTTTGCCTTTTACTGCTTTCCTTGGACAAATTATTTAGCATCTTCTTTTTTTATATTTTCACCAAGAAAATTGGAAAGGAGGGATACAAATGCATAGAAATATTTTAGGAATAAACTTCAGTAATGTCAATTAATATATGTTTTTACTGTAAAATATATTTGTAAAGGTGACTCTTAGGGACAATCTATTTGCTGCCTTCTGGACTCATATGTTGGGTAAATATATACTTCATTATTCCTTTTCTACAGAAGAGAAAATACACCATTCTTTTGTAAAATCCTGAAGGTTGAAAATTAACAAAGATAATAAATTTTGTAACCCTGTACCACCAGGCAATGGATAATGTTCAGCCACCTCCTCATTTGGATATATTTGTAGCATACCACAGGTGCCCTCATTTCCTCAGGCCACCCGGGCCTGGTTTTATAGTGCTAGTGTCACGGGTGGCAGGCTTGCTCTCATTCACAGGAAGGGAGTTGGCCCACAGTGAATGGAGCATGCAGAGAGGTGTAGGCATTTCAGGAAGGAAACCTGCTCAGCTGAGCTTGTCTTCTTTGGGTAGAACTTAAAACTTCCAGGGAGGGTCTGGGGCTATAGCTCAGTGGTTGAGAACTCACCTAGCCTTGGACATGRGTTCAATTCCCAGCACGGCAAAAAAATAAAGAATAAAAACTAAGTAAATGAAACTTGCAGGGAACAAAAGTTACAGATTATGATGACTCTCTGTGTAACCCCTAGCACCAGTAATTGCTTTGTTCTTGTTAACTGTATCTGAGAGCTACCCTGGCCTAGGCATCCTGACACCATCAACAAAGTCCTCTGGACTTCCATAGAGGGGGAACTAGTTTTACACTAAGGCTCACTCCACCAGCTATGTATAAAAGTCCTAAGGTTTGCAGTAACCAACAAGCTGAAGTGGGTAGATTTTTTATACTTGTTTTTCTGCTGACATTTGGAATTTTATATAGCACTTACATAACAGGAGTAGCCAATTAGCATAGCAGGTTGAGGAAGAGAAATGGTTTGGGAGGGCCAGTATATAATATTTCAAAATTTAGTATAGAAATCTCAATTGGAAACATTAATAAGACAACAAAAGCTATTGATTATCTTTCTCAGTTGCAATCTAGAGGCTACCCTTRGTGTTCTTTAACTGTCTGCCTCATTGGAGGATACAGTCCCAAGGTCATCCAAATTCAAAGTCTCTATGTGAAAATAATCAGCCACTAAAACCACACTGTGCAGACCCAGTGGTATATAGTAAAAGAAGGGTAGAAGGGTCCAGAATCTTCCACACAGTTTTGATCACCACCAATTGGAAATGAKACAACTAACATGGATAGACAGCCCTTGAAAGCGGAAAGATGGGGAGACTTCTTAAGAGAACAAATGTAAAATTCAGTTGTATCCTTTGGGACCACTTAAGGTACCATGCAGGCTGGCAGTGGGATGGATGAAGGTGCCGTGGAAATTCAGTAGTCAGGGTGAGGCTGGTGACTGTGGGGTTGACCACCAAGTGCTGGGGAGCTAGGACTGGGATTCATGAGTTGTCTTTGAAAAATAAAAATACACAGAAGTGCAAATATTTGTCATTGTTTTAAAAATTGGCAGGGTTACTTGCTTGAAGAGGTAGGTGTTGGCATGGTGGGCTGTTGTGGATTTCAACCACATGAGGGCAAAAGCTGTGTCTTTTCTATTCTTACTGTTCTATTCTTGCCTGGTATACTCCGGGCATCGCACAAGGTCCAACAGACACTGGGGAGACCACCGTATAAAGCACAGCTAGAGAATTTATAGCCCTTAGAAAGCTCAGTAGTTTGTTTGTGATCCAATAAACATATCCATTCGAGTAGTTTTCAAAATATTGGAAACAGAATCCTTGGGTGGGATATTTATTATAGGCTGRTAGAATAAGCCAAGAAGTAGTTGAGAATGTTTCAGAAGCAATTCTTGACAGGGCGGGCAGATGGCTTAATTGAGATATGGGTCTCAAGAATAAAGAAGAGTTCCAGCGACCCTGCCAGGCAGCCCCAGGCCTCATTACTCTCGTGAGTCTCCCCCTYTCCAGGGTCCTCTAGAGCAGTTTTTAGTTTATGCCTCCTGATTTTTAGGATGCCAGTTTTTGAAAACACCATAAACACCAAGCAGTCACTATGTGCAGACCTCACAGGGCTGCAGTAGCTACCTGTGCCTGAAGTTTTGCCATCAGTTTGAGAAAGAGGTGTCCTAAGAGCTAGAGTCCATGTGCATGGGCCTCTGACCAAGCCCCTGGAAACTCTCCGTAGTTTTAGAAAACACTGGCTGATAGTGATGTCCCTGTTTCATGTGTTGTTATTAAATCCTATCATAAGGTAGAATCTCCAGCACAGCCTCTCTCCATCCCCCAGAAACAGCTACTTGTGTATCCATGTGCTGCTTCCTTGTCCCTTCATTTATTCACTTCCCTCTAGCCATGACATCTCCATGGGCCATGGGACTGCTGTCCCACTCGAGGACACTTAGCATTGGTGGAAGTCACYAATGACTTCCCCAGGCCAGGCACATTGTCCTGCTCTTTGGCATTTCCAAGGATTTTCATGGACAAGTGTTTCTGCTGGTTATCTCAGTTGTTCTCACATCAGCCTTAGGAAGTGAGCAGAGTCCCTACTTCCCTGGTCACTTTACAGATAAAGCGTTAGAGGATGAGGAGAAGGGTCCACTCCGAGGCCACGTGTAGGGAGAGTGACAGCCCACTTGAAACGCTGCRGTCATCCTTTGGAGCTTGGGCTCTCTCCTTGACTCCCACAGTCTCTTCCTGTGATACCCAGGTGCCCTGCAACCGTGTGGTATTAAATTAAGCATGGGAGTAGATGCACAAAATCCATTTACCTCTGAGATTCTCTGTGCAATTGGCCTATCATTTTATTGCACRTGAGACATTTTATCAAATGCTACAAAAATACCATCTACTTTAAAAAAGCAATTCCATCTTGTTCTCTTGCACCTCTGACCTGTTATAAAGCCAGACATTAGAAATGGTGTGTTATAAATGGTAGTTTCAGGCAGCATGGACCCCCAAATTCATTTCCATCAAACCTACTTATGTGAAGTTCTGCTGAGGATCATTCACTGTTTGTTCCAGAATTTAAAGGTCGGTGGTGATTTTCTGATTCTGTGCTCTGCTATGGGAATGCTATGCTTTCTTTCCTTCCCCTCTGTGTACCCTGTCCCTGCCTGAAACTGTCACACGTAGCACATGCAGCCTCCCCCCAACACAGCTCTGAACTGAATTCTCCCAGATTCGGTTTCATAGTATTTCTCCTCTCTGTAAACCGATCCTTCCTTCCTCCTGCCTTTGTCTTTCTCCCTTCCCACTTTCTTTTCACTCTCCTTTCTCATTCCATTTATTCCCGACCTCCCCCTCTTATTGCAAATATACTGTTTTATTTCTCAGATTCCTAGATTCAAACTGAAGTTTTTATTTCCTCTATCTGGGAATACAAGCACAAAACATTCAGACCAGCACAGTATTTTCATAGCCCATGTGAATGACAGACACAAGTGGCGCAGTTGTCAAGGAACCAACGTTTGCTTATAAACCCACTGCTACAATAGAAAATGAATAAATCAACATCATGTTCCTGATTGTGGCATTTTCCACCTGGGTACCTGCTTTATCAGATAGTTATAATAGTATGTGTTAGCCAGGGAGCTTCCACGAACTCAACAGCCGATGAGTGTCTGTGCATCTGGTGTTCATATTAAAGTTGGCGACAAATACCACTCTGTTTTGTAACTTAGGATCTCTCTGTCCATAATGGAGTTGAGAGAGTCTTCAAATATGATGAGTTCCCGTCTTCACTGAGATGGACTCTAGGCACAAGGACGTCAGGGGAGACGGAGAAGCACACCTCTTTGTGTGGTCAGTCCCGCCCTGTGGCTGAGTCAAGTTCCAAGTCAGCTGGGCTGGAGTGGCCACATCAGCTGTGTCCAGATGGCTGCTTGTGTAACGTGGACTGTCTTTCCTTGCAGTGTGGCACTGTGGACCAGGGCCTGTATGTGAACCTGACGGAGAGGAACCTGCAGGATGCTCAGAAGTTCATTCTGATGCATGAGGTGGTGCAGCCAGTGACCACAGTGCCCACCTTCATGGAGGACAACAGCCGCTTCTCCCACGTGGTCGTCGATGTGGTGCAGGGCAGAGACACCCTCGTCCACATCCTCTACCTGGCCACAGGTAGGAGCTCTGTCCTCCTCTGAGCTGTTTTCTGTCATGTTCTATTTGATGTTTTAAACTCAAAATATTCAGCTGGGCAAGAAGCTGAGGCCGGGGCTGGATCCCCAGGACTTAAAAAAGTGGATATTCATTTCAGCTTGACATTTGGGGTCTGTCTCCGCCACCTGCTAACCAGCTTTATCTGCGCCTGAAGATAAGATCCAGCCTCATCCGTCCATGGTGCTTGCTTATCCTGGTCATGCCCCTGGGAGTCTTCATTTCACTCTCCTTTTTTCCTGTGTTAGTCCTACTTTAATGGGCAAGAGAATGCCTCCTTTCTTAACTCTTGTTCCCCAACTATTCACTAGGCAGGACCTTTCTGGGCAAGGCCGTCGTCAGTCGGACGGTTTAACTCAGCAGAACACTTTGTTGGAGAATATCGCTGGGTGAAATGCTCTCCTGGGGTTGCTGTGGCGATTTCTGATGGTCTCAGAAGCAGTGCTCACAGCAGACTCTTCCTGTAGATGCCACATGCAAGCATTCGAAGAATATTTAAAAAAAAAAAATAAGTAGCACAATATTTTACAGCAAACATAGGTGACAGTGCTTATGAAATTMCAAAAAGCGGCTAGTGCTGCTCAGATTTCACAGTAACCAGAGTGCAGAGGGCATGCTTTACCCAAGTCCATTCTGCAGGACGGCYCCAGCCCAGCCCAGCCCCAGGACCAGGTCTCAGCTCTGTCTTCATGCCCCCCAGATACAGCAACCTCGTAGTGGGCTCTGCCCCCCTCCGCCTCACTCTTTTCCCGTGTCCACATTAACTGGCATTTTCTCACAAAGCACGATTACCTCTCTTCCTGTTGTGACGAGGACCATGTCTTATTTTGAGAGGATATCTCACTTTCTAATTRTATATTTATCCGCTGGTTTATTTTATTCATTAAATCACTGAGGTTTATTGAACTTTCACTGTCTGTGGAGTTCACTGTCATGCTGAGGAGTGGAGTGTAAACAGACAGGCTCTGTCCTGCTCTCAGCTGGCATTCTGAGGGGCAGTCAGGCAGTGGGTGAAGCAGTGAGGCGCCGAGGAGCTGCTGCGGTGGTGGAGTGGTGGTGAGAGCCCCCRAGGGCCCCGCCTGGCTCTCAGACCCTGCCTCGGCCCAGAGGTGGCATTTAAGTGAGTACCGGGGAGGAGCAGCCAGCCCTGCAGCCAAGAGGGAAACAGAGAACCCTGCAGATGCAGGGACTGTCAGCTGTGGGCAGGGCTACTGAGGGGTCACAACAGAGGAGGACAGACGTGACCTCTGCCTGGCCCTGGGGTTTGGATAGAGGCCACTGCTGCCTGCGGGGGCCACTTGAGGAAGGAGTGGGGAGGAAGGGGGAAGAGAAGAAGTCAGTTGAGACAGTTGCTAGGAACAGCTCTCTGCAGAAGTGGCTTGGTGACGGGGAGAGAATGAGGAGGTCTCTAGAGGAGACGGGAGGCCAGAGAGGGGMCTTTAGATCATTTTTGTATTATGGAAAGGAAAGGAATGAGTAGTGCACTGTTTGTCTTGTTCACCAGGCTGCAGACAGGGATTGCGTATCTTTTTCTGCCATTTTAATTTTTAACGTGACACAGGCAGGGTGCCTAATGCGGTAGATTTCTAGYAGGAATGACAGGACATTTCCAAAAGTGTCCCTAGTCTTCTAGCAGATATCTTCAGGTTAACGCCATGGAGAGTAGGGTCACCTCCATGGATTCTGGAGGCAGTGGAGGCCTTCATCCATGGCTGGGCTGCGGAACACCTAAGCTGGTCAGCTCAGAGCAGCCTGGGGTCTCCACCCCAGCCTTTTGACCTGTTCCCTGTCTGTGGGTGCAAAGGCTGTTGCTGATTTGAAGTTAGCTCGGGTGATTTCTGATGAAACRCTTTGATTTTGATGGGTGCTGAGTGGGCCCTGGTTGCTGATTACAACAGAACACCATGGTCAGGGGGGCTTAGAAACACATTTGGTTCTCAGTGTTCTGGAGGCCAGCATGATGGCTGCTGGGATGTTTCTGGTCAGGACCTCTGGCTGGCTTGGCACGGCTGCTGTTTGTTGTGCCCTCACAGGAGAACAGGCACCTTCTCTCTGTGTGTCTTCTCATAAGGGCACCAGTGTCATCATAAGGCCTCTACCCTCGTCACCCAGTTCCTCCACTCATGACTTAAAAAGGTGAAATGGAACTAATTGTTCCCATGTTACAGACACAGTGCCATCGGTTTCACCTTGGGAATACAGGCAGGTTGGGTGACAAGTGCCAAGTGTGTATTCTCCCACTTCGACTTTACATGAATGAATGCACCTGCTGGTAGCCATGTGGGGAGTGGGTTATCTTGTTTGTGAGCAGCATCTAAAGATCAAAGTGAGACAGAATGTTGCCACTGTAGTTCTTTGTGGCCCCCCAAGTCCTGCTGCCTTTCCTAGACATGTTCAGCTCCATGTCTCACTGATCCATGTCTCTGCCCTTGGCAACCCAGCCAGGYGAGACTGTGCTGAGAGTTCGAAAGTCATTTCTTTGAAACTCTTCTCAGTTAGAGCAGGAGGGCAAATGCCGAGTCTAACTCCATCAGGATATTTCTGACTGGGGTTCTCTACGTGATGAGGCTAAGTGCAGACAGTTTCTGAGCTCCTCTATAAGGACAGAATGAGAGCGGGGTTCACCAGTCTCTCCTTAGCTGGCTACAGAACACATCTCCTGTGGCTCTTCTCCTGCCTCCGAGATGGTCCTTCGCTGCCTCACTTATCTCCTGGCCTCCTGTRTGGTCTTGGCTGGGTGGTCTCTGCCCATGGCCACAGCCAAGACTATTTCATGCTTCCTCCCGGGAAGTACATTCAGACTCACATAGTTCCTACTCTCCCTCCTCTGGTATCACCAGAGCACTTTTATTTTCATATASTTCATGTAACACTTTTATTTTCATTGAACCTCAGTTCTAGTGTGTCTAAATTACTTAATTTTAATTTATTTTTAATCAAGTAATCATTATTAAGTTAATGATTCAATTAACCTTCAACTGACTATAACCTTGAAATGTCCTATCCTTAGATTGTGACAATGATTGCACAACTCAGAATGTGCTGCAGATCAATGGGTGGATTTTTTCGTATGCATATTTTACCTCAATAAAGATAGTTTAAAGGAATATGATCCATCCTTGTGACTTACTGAATCATTTATYATAAAATATTTTGTCTTAATTAGAGGATTGCTCATAAATTTTACATTAAAATGCTGAGCACAGGGGCATATGCCTGTAAACCATACAATTGGGAGACCAAGTCAAGAGGGTCACAATTCAGGAATAATGGGCAACTTAATAACACCCATCTCAAAAAATAAAAAGGGCTGGGGGCGTAGCTCAGGGGAAGAGCTCTGGCATGCATAAGGCCCTAGGTTCTATCCCTAGTGCAGGAAAAAGAAAGAAGGAAATGAGGAAAGAAGGAGGGAAGAAATATAAGAAGGAAAGAAGGCAGGGGCGTGCACACACACGTGTGYGCGCGCACAAATGCACACACTTTTCAACGTTTTTCTTTCTGAACTTGTGAAATTCACATCGAAAATGAGCAAGTCATAGATGGTGCAAAAGCGAACGGTCCACACAGTCACACTGCCTTTACCTGATTGATTTGAACTGGAGCCTGCACTGAGTTTATCACCTGTGTTTCCTTCTTGTCCCCCACCCCAAGGTGGATTGCACCCTGCGRCGAAGTATTTATAAAAGTTTCAGAAAATACAGTAGAACAAAGAGAGCATGAGCAGTCTCTTTCAGGCTGCAGAAAAGTAAATCAAACAGAATAGTTGAAAGTAGGAACAAGAGTACATTTGCTACAAATTTACTTTGCCTTAATAAAAGTAGAGAATATTAATAAAATAAGTAACATTGAAATGATGAATGATGAAAATGAGATGAAAAAAGGTTCTCCTAGAGACAAAGTAAAGAGCAAAATAAATCTATTCTATTGCAAAGGTAATGATGACATTTGAAGCTTTATGTGAACAGAAGCAAAGCTAAAGGTTAATTAGTAACAGTAAATGTTTGCCATGGCTGCAGGGACAAATGCAGAGATAAGATAGAGTCTAGATACAAAGGACCCAGGAAGACAAGGCAACAGTATAGCCACTGGTGTCTTTGAACCAGAGAACTCCATGRTAAGTTGTCCCTGAAAATATCATTAAGAAAAATTCCTGAAAAAAAAAAATGGAAGACATGAATCTGAAGATATCAAAACACTCCACATTTGAGCAATATTGATTAAGAATAAAGAAACACTACCTGGGCATTGTGGCACATGCCTGTAATCCCAGCAGCCCAGGAGGCTGAGGCAGGAGGATCACAAGTTCAAAGCCAGACCCAGACAACTTAGCAAGGCCGTAAACAACTTAGTGAGACTTTGTCTTAAAATAAAAAAAAAATAATAATAAAAAGACTGGGGATGTGGTGCAGTTGTTAAGTGTCTGTGATTTTAATCCCTGGTACCTAATAAAAAATAAATAAATAGATAAATACTAGACATAGCCAGGTTAAATTTTTAAATTCCAAAGGTAAATAAAGAAAGCACTACAGGGAAAAATAACAACAAATGGATAAAAGTCTGGTGTTCTCAGAATACTCTGCAGCTGCCTGAGTCTGTGAATAAGGCCCCCCCAAATCTGAGAAAAATAAAATGTGATTCAAAATTATTAAGCTCACTGAGGAATTTAAAAAAAAAGACAGACATTATGCAAAAAGAAATTCTCAATCAATAGGCTTCTAACGATCTCTTTTCTAAACATGAAATAGTACTAATTACTGGCTAAATTGAGTCCAACAAATTCGGAGATTTGAGAAACAAAGGAAAATAAAAAAAATTAAAAAAAAAACACCAGATTTCAAGCTGAGCAATATATTGAAAAGCAGAGAGAAATCAAGCAGGATTTATGAGTTTTATTCTGGGTTATCTTTCCTTCAAAAATAAACRTACATTAAAACTTTAGGGACACAACACCCGTGATTCCTACT